AAATAGGATTTTAGGATAGTTTAGGATTCGTGTAGGAAGTTATTATTTAAGATTAGCAAGACGTGAGGTCTAAGAGGGAGGGCACGGAATAGCTCAACTGCTGTGATAGATAAAATATAACGCGTGGTACAGACACGTCCAGCTACACCGCGACTTAGCACAGAACGCTTTGTTGACATAAAGCTCGTTAAAATACAATCAAGTAGCATAGGCTACCATACTTTACACTATTGTGTAGATACAGATACTAGATTACCTGAGTTAAATAGTGAGAGCGGGGGGTAATGCAAAATACGGTTAATCCAATATATTATAAAAACAGATGACAAACTCATTAAAACGCTGTAAACAGCCATTAACGTCACGATTATCATTTTTATAAACAAAATTCAATATGGCACAATCATTATTATTGTGCAATAACATTATTATTGTAAATTTCATATCATTTATCTTGGTTCAGTTGTACAAACGGAAACGTTTAAAATTATAGCTAATCACCAGCTCTAATTACTAAGCAGCATAATTACTCTACTAATCACCAGCCAAACATTGCATTGCTATAAATAACGTAAATATTAAATGGACCTTTAGAGAGTGTTATAAGATACTGGTCATGATAGACAGATAGGCTATCAATAGGTGCTGTATCACAGCATAGGAATTGATAGATAAGTAATAAAAAGGTGTAAAATTATATTTAGAGATAATTAAAACACTCTTAAAAAAGAATGTAACGAGAACAATCTTGTTATTCTTTTTCTTTTTTAGGTTTCTCTTCAATTCATACACAAATTCAACAAGTCGCCATATTTAGGCCTACTCATTGGCCAATCACAGCCTTACTAAAGTTATGGTAACTAATCACTCAATCACAGTTTACTAAGCATTATACCGTCATCGATTCCCCATGCTGTTGTATCTGAAATCTGTTGTAACATAGCGCACAGCAGACAGAAGTGTAAAACGGAGCAGACGATTGTTGGCGCAAGCGTTGTTTCCATTTCATTTTCATCAAAGGAGCTGTGATGTTTCTAAAGGGAGGGACAGGGGATCGTTATATCGAGAAAAGACGCTGACAATTCGTTAAGCAGAGGTTACGAACGCTATATGGATATTCTGGCAATAGAAAATTCCTTAAATTGAGGTGACTTATAAAACTCTAATTTTATTTATATAGAAAGATAAGTTTTCCAGTCCTGTACAACACTGATTCACGGTATTTTCCCTGTAATCAAAATTTAAGTACAACTTGATACACACATAATCTCCGGTTCCCGACCTGGATGATGGCTAGTTATTTAATTTAATTTACAGTTACATATTAGTACCCGTGATAAATCAAACCCACCAATCAAACCGTGTAAGCCAAAGCCACACACGGTTATTAATCTCACTTGGTTTTGGATTTGCTTACAAACGTGATCGTAAATGGTTACAAACGTGATCGGAAATGGTTAGGGCCTACACAGTATTCGTAAACAACATTTATGTAAACATATCAGTGACAGCTAGGAAAAGGAATCTTTATCAAAACAGCTGTTCGTAATTTCATATATGACGTGTTCTCTTAACAGATTATTAGTAATTCATAAATTAATGACGTATGTAGTAAACATGGAGAAAATAAACTAGAAAAATCACACAAAATTGTGTTTTTGATCGTCCGTTATTTTATTTCCAAAATAGTGAGGCCATATTTTAATGGCTATAAGGACTCTCTTGCCAATCCTGTGGATACAATTAAACCATTAGAATCATAATCGGTACTCTAGTTTTCTTTAGAGAAGGCTGCATAAAATGCCTTCTGGGCCGTGACAGACGGACACAAATTGAGATAAGACATGTTTCAACTTCTTCAATGTATAAAACATAAATAACCCAAAATATGTATAATTCTGAGCAATGTACAGACAAACCTATAACTTTATTCATATCAACTGGGTTTGAATTTTAAATATCTAAAAAAATTATACAACTTCTTTTATAGTTTTACAAATAGTGCTGGGCGGGGGAATAATGTTTCTCATTTGTTGTGTACATCATTTATGGTGGGGGGGGGCTGTTGCTCAATTGGGGGTGGGGGGTGCGTCATGAGTCTAGGGGGGGATGGGCACCCCTGTTATAGTTATCAAACAGTAAGAACCTATTGTAAATAAACCATGATTTATTACATAAATACATTTAACAGAGACTTTTTGATAGGTACATTTTTATGGCCTATGGCACGTACTTACATTTCTTCTTAAAATACCGTATCAAGCTTTTTAAACAGCTGTGGCAGCATCGCTGAATGCTCAAAGTGTTTGATTGTTCTGCTAGCTTTAATGACTTTGATTGAACTTTATTGGGGTTGTGGACTGTGACTGTAGATACTTGGTTTAAAATCACCTCAATAGTCAATTTTAATTTTTTTATTCTTGCCTTTTTACTCCTCGTATTGGTTTTTACATTGTATTAATTAGAATCATTTTTACTTTTATTTGTTGATTTTTTTCCCCGACGGTTTATGCCAGTATACAAAAATGGATACAATGTTAACAAGATGACTAACATTCATACAACAGTGGAAATTGGTAACAAGAACATAATAAAATGAATAACAACAAGAATAACAATAACTTGAATAATAATAACAAAAACATTTGAACAAAAGTAACAAAAGGAATAACGATAAAGATATAATGAAACTCAGCAGTAAATTGTTTTGGATAAATTAATACAATGTGATCTGGCAAGCAATGACATTTAACGAAAACATAAAATAAAGTGGTGTAGGCAACAACAACAAGAATGATTTAATTGCCTAGAAGTTGTAAAAGTTGAGATTCTACTGTAGTGACTAGAATTATTACTTTAGCAGGGAGTTGACCTTTCCTCCGAACGTGGACAATGAGTCGTGAAAGTAGACCATGTGATTTGCGACATCACTCCCAGTACCTACGTATAGAAGTCTCGATAGTCCACTATTTGATGCAAAGTAGGTGGGTTGGTAGCGTCTGCAGAATATCGTTTTGGAACGGGTCCCTGTCGGGCGATGTGCAAGTGGATACCGCAGAGTGTAGATCCGAACAGTCCAAGAGGCTATGAGTCATTGACCAACATATTAAAAAGTGTCAGTAGATCTGAGTGTTGCCACCTCACATGTAAACGAATGAGGCAAAAAAAGAGATTCAGCTTCTTTAAGCCACATTCTTTCTCATCTACATTTATCTAATCCAATCTATCTAAATCCAATCCAATCTAATCTTATAAAACTAACAATATTGATAAACATTAACAAAATAAAACAATAAAGATTAAAATAAACAAATAGGTGTAACAACATTACATTATTTGTATTTGTAACTATTCGTATTGAAATGTATTTCCCTAACACACAATCACACACACATACACCCTCTGCTGCACCCAGGCCTAACCCACGCCATCCCGCCACGCCACGGCCATCCGGTTAAGGTAAAATTCTAAGGTAATAGGCTGTCAGAAGGACATTCTGATCGGAGAAATGTGATAGTTGCCTTAAAAGGTAGATGCCAGACCCCACTCTCATGCATACATTGTCGACATGGTCATGAAATCAGCGGTTTTTGTCTAATATTAGACCAAGGAATTTTACGCTGTCTGAAGACTCAATTTCTACATCGTCTAGAAGGATGTTTGTAGAAGGATTGCCTTTGATTGAAAAACTGAGCAATTCAGTTTTGTTGGGATTGAGGTTCAGTAAATTGGAGTCAAACCACTGCTTAATATTATTTGCATCAGTAAAAGATTTTATTTCAAATTCCTCGGCAGTTGAGCTAGACAGGGCCAAAGACGTATCATCCGCAAAAAGGTAGACCTCCTCAGCCTCAAAACTTGAATGCAATTCATTTACATAAATCAAGAACAGTACAGGCCCAAGGACAGATCTCTGGGGAACCCCACAAGTGATGATGTCCGAGAGGAGACAACGGGTCGAGCACACCCACAACTGTCAACTCCTCTAACCTCAAGAAACTGCTCCCTCTTACGGAGATGTAAGGAGAACCACTCCTGTGCCAGCCTTCTCGCCTCAATGGAATTCAGTTTAATGTGAAGTAATTCGTGGTTTACTGTATCTAAGGCCTCGCTTGGATCAAAGAAAAGCCTTAAGCATTTTCTCCTGAGTCTAGAGCCCGTAATTCATCTCCAATTAGTCTACTCTTCCACTTCGACTGTATTGGAACTATCGCTGGAATTAACAGCATTAATTTTCTGCTTGTGATTCTAGATTCCACTCTTTTCAACATGAGGTTTGAGATGCTAAGAGGCCGGCTCGTATACCTGATACTTCCGTTTTTATATAAACAATATCCCTTGAGATTTCTTCAATTTTATTCATATTACCCATTAGGGCACCTAATTTTGACAATACAACAGTCATTTGGGAGGAGAGTTGAAGACTCTTTGGAATCGATGCAGTCATAGTTCTGGAACAAAACCAGAGTTCCGTGCTAACCAGAAACTAACACTTAACTCACTGATACTCCAAACTCTGACTTTGTCATGGCCATGCAGCTTCTGTGGAACCATCGCTGCCATTTTCCATCACATTCCACGCCTTCGTCAGAATCTAGGACAGCCTGATACATGTAGGACAAGTGGTGGTGGATATTGAAGTATTGAACATTATTGTCGTTATAAGACGTTTAATATGCTTGATATTGTTACGATGCCAGTTGAGTGATAAAGCGGTAGCAATGGCTTTTCGATTCTCTACTGTTATCCACCCACAAAATTTTCTCAACGTAATAATGTTGAATAGGCAGAGTATTTTGCATACAGTAATAATGATTATGTTTAACGATAAAGTATAGAAGGCTCTGGATAATTTCTGTCAGTTTCGTCTGTTTGGTTCAATTCCACTATTCCGAAGTGGCATGGCAATGGCAAACAAATAGGGCAATACGGTTGGAACGTTGGAAACTGGGAACTGGTTACAACACGTGTAGTAAGCTCGAAAAAATTGAGTTTTTAAAATTTGTTACTGTTACACAGATCTTACCTCAAAATTTTGTCCCTTACCTGAAAATCTAGGTGAGGGCTGATAATTAAGTTCGGTAAATAAGCTATTTACGTCGTATTTAGCTTCTTACTCTCAGTTTTAACGGATTTAATTTTTAGTTTTATGGTTTTAATTAAAAACAAGACAATTCTTGGTAAACAAATTATTTTGAAATAGGCCTAGGCCTAACCTAATCAAAAAATGATTGATGATCCGGGAAAATTTGACTTAAAAAGTGTAAAGATTAGCATTCAAAAGGCTGTTTTGGATTGTTCCATTAGGGGTCTAAATCATACAGCTAAATGGTAAGTTCTACAATTGTTCACTAGGTCTAAGCTTAGACCCTACTACCTAGGCCTATAAGTTTTAACATAGGCCTAGGCCTAGACTAACCAAAACAAGTAGGCTAGCCTAGACTTCTCTTTCCATTGTAAATTTTGAAGCTTGTTTTCGTGTCTGTCCAGTGACACTGATCACTAAGCCTAGTGTTGACGAAATTTTGTTTAAGCGAATTTCCCTATATAGGCCTAAGTTATATGACGTTGTGCTGTAGATTGGTGCATGTTAGTCAAGATCGGACTTTAGTTTTTCTGTTTTTTAAGAATGTCAATGCCTATTGTATTTATACAGAATGGCTAATAAAATCATTTAGGCCTATCACTTATGAGGGAGGTAAGACCTGGACACGGGACCGATATACTTTTTCATTTTGATGTTCCTAGAGGCCAAAAACACCATTTGTTCAAACGTTTATACATGTATATATAAGTTAAACTTAACTTTATATATATTTAAGATAATTTTTAATATATATAGGACTAGGCCTATGTCTGTGAATGCAATAGATTGAATAGGCAATTTTTTTCCGATTTGATTAAATTTAGCTTGAAGCAGTAAGGCAGGGTAAACTTGAATGAGTTTGCTAACCAGCATGATCATGATCGAACCATGTGAAGGGGGCTTTCCAGGGTGATAATTGGTTTTTCTCATTTTTGCCTTTAACTTAAAACACAAAATTTCCCAATTTCTCTTCAAACTATTTTAAAGATCTTAAAAAAGAAATGATCAGGCGAAATTTGCTTAGTCTGCAAGTTTGCTGCAACGGGGTATTTATTATTTTATGGTTAGTTTCTTGATTTATTTGTGCTTTACTGTTTGGTAATATAACTAGGAGACAAGTTATTGTTTATAACCTAGGCCTATGTTTACCCTATACCGGTACGGTGTGAGTTTCTACTGAACGTGTTAACTTCGCCAGTAGGTTCTACTCTCTAAAAGAAAAAAAGTTCTATAAACATATGTCCGATTTTCAACCGATTGGCTGGAATAGGGAGTTTTGTGTTTTTCTTAATTTAGACTTTGCCCCACAATTTATGTAATAAATACCCCCGTCGCAGCAAACCTGCTGACTAAGCAAATTTTCATTTGTCTGAATTGATTTTGAATAAAATCTATTTAAATAACATTAGGTTTAACGAGTACCTACGTTTACTGTTACAAGGAAACTAATAAAGTGTGTGTTTTTAGTAAAATATTAATAGCTTATATATTTAGTTAATCTCAGTAACCAGCCTCTTCCACCCTTCTCTGTCTTCTGCCAAGTTGACATTTTGCACCCATTGTCCTGATGTCGTTCAATACTTGGTCAGTCCATCTCAATTTCGGCCTGTCCCAATGGACGTTTTTTACCTCCAGGTGTGGCTCTCCAAACTTCATACAGTCTTGTTCCGTTCACTCTTCTTAGCACATGCCCTATCCAACTTAACCTTCTTCCTTTAACTATTGCAACAATATCTGGGTCGGTGTATAGTGATCTTACCTCTCTATTTTTCCTTATTCTCCACATTTGTCCCTCCTGCACTGGACCAAATATTTTTCTTAGGACTTTATTTTCAAACACCATGAGCCGGTTTTCATTTTTCTTGGACAATACCCATGTTTCACTACCATATAACAGAATAGGTTGAATTATTCTCTTATATAACTGTATTTTGGTTCTGTGAGATAATACTTTAGATGAGATCAACTTCTTGCAGGCTCCACAACACTTATTGGCATTCGTCTTCTACTATTTACAGTTACTCCTAAATCTTTGAAACTTTCTGTACAATTTATAGCCTAGTTAAGTTCTTTATCTGTATGTTTCTGTTTCTATTGTTTGCTTGTCTTCCAAAGTTAATGATTTTAGTTTTTTCTACATTTACTTGCAATCCTATTTTGTTTGCTTCTGTAATAAGTAGGCCCTACATCTGCCAAACTTTCAACTGTTTCTGACTAAATGACCACATCATCAGCAAATGCCAATATGTTTAGATCTACTCCAAGCTTAAGATTAGATATCTTAAGATAAGATCTTTATTTCCATTAAATATTCTTTTGAATACATTGGATATGTCAGGTTACAATATATAATCTATACAATGATAAATTGAACAAAGGGCTCACCCATCTTACACAAAATCATTGCAAGTCAATCTTTTAGTCAAATATTCATCAATTGAGTAGATGAGTGTCTAGAATGAGATCTTGTAATATTGTTAGTGACTAAGGCCGACATGTTTCTTAGACACAGGCTGTTAATGAATATAGCCCATAATGGCAACTAAGGGACCTACAGTTATAGTGGAACCCGAACCACATTTTTGCCTTGGAATTAACAAATTGGTCAATTAGTTATCATATTAGTACTGTACTGCGGATAGTCATAGTACCCACCAGTGTGGATGTTAATCCACACCAGGGAGTAGGCCTATCACATCCACAGTGCATGTCTATCAATGTCCTCAATTCATGACCTCCAAATAGCTGGATTGACAAATTCCAGCCCAAATATAAATATTGCTAAAATCAATAAGATTTAACCGGTGGAGTCGTGTATCAAAGTTCTGCTGGGCTAAATCATTTTGAATGTAATTATTTTTAAGAAAAACTAGAATGAAAGAATTAAGTAATTTATGAATTAAATACCATGGAGTAAGTTAATAAATAGATCTATATAGAGAACAGAAGATTGAATTTTATATTAACATCCAGCATTGTACCCTATTATTCATTATTCATTATTCATTGACCTTTCGTCATTCAACCTCAGGCAGAGGAAATAGACTGTGTTTAGTTTAGTAAAAAAATAAGAAAAAAACAAACAAAAAACACATGAAACTACACGTGCACAAATTATTTAAGATAGTAATGAAAACGGAACTGATTGGTGGTGTGGTAACGACCATAATATAAAGATACTGCTTTTTGTTATAACTTAAGCCTTAATGTTACTTACTAGATACGTCGTGTACAGATGGTTAGAACTAAGCTAAATAAAAGTGTTTTTGTTTTGATGCTTTTTCTTTTAGAACTAACCATAGTTAATTTGATAATATCCAGGTTATCCGAGTTAAATTTTTCTCTGAAAGACGTGGTGGTTGATCCTACTGAAAGAGTACACACAAACCCTGCAGTCTTTGGAGATGAGTATGATACGTATTTTGTGGCCAAAAGTTACTTCGACGTCAAAGAATATGACAGGTAAAGGTTAAAATATTTTAGTTATAATAGTATTAGCTTTAAATTTTATCAGAGCAAATGACTTTTTTGGTGATATCTTATTAACTTATTATTGGTCTGGATTGTACCATTGACTATATTAACATTATGGTAGTGTTTATATAATCAATGATTGCACTCTATTGTTGTTAGTGTTAGTTTCACCAACAATGAATCATTACTTAAGGAGAAACATCAAAGATTACAGACTCAAATAATGATACTAGTATTCTCTTGAAAATAAAAGGTTCAAATTCCTGTTGTGCTCTCAAATGATCAGATATTTTCCCCAAAGGACCAATGGTTTTGTATCTACAGGTTTATTTTAAAATTGGATATATATATACAGGGTGATCAACTCAAGGAGGCCACCATTGGGATATCGGAAACGGTAAGAATTAGAGAAAACTTTAAATGGGAGACATTCCTTTATTTTTTGTGGCAGTTAAAAATATGATTTTATTTTTCCGATATCCCAATGGTGGCCTCCTTCAGTTGATCACCCTGTATATATATATTTAAGTTATTGTGAATCGTCTTCATTTCTGGGGCTGTGAAAAGTTAACATAAACACACACACAAAGACGCATATTTGAAAACATTTAACAACAATTTGAATAAATTATATATAGGCCTACACTGGCTGTGGATGTGTGGCGTGGTCAGCATATGGTGAGTTATGAACAAAAGAGTAATTACCTCATTAGTAGAATGACTCTACCGGGAATATAAAATTTCCAGGTATCATTACAGACACTATCCCGTCAATGGTTTATTATTTTCCAGATGTGCTTATTACACAGAGAAAAGTACCACACCAATTTGTCGTTTCCTGCATGCTTATTCCAAATACTTGTCGTTGGAAAAGAAAAAGATTGAGGACATGACTGATGACTGGCCAGATCCCAGGACCAACTCAAAACTGCAAAGTTTGTGTCAAGATTTGAGAGCAGATTATCTAGACTGGAAGCTTGACTGTTACATGCTGTACTTGTACGGTGTGGTTCTGAAGAGGAGAGACCTACACAATGAAGCTATACAGGTTTTGGTTGAGGCTGTACACAAGGAGCCACTGCATTGGGGGGCTTGGTTCGAACTGGCCACTCTCATACCTGATCGAGCAAAGGTAATGTTATTTTAACTCCATAATAATACTACTCAGGTTTGTTGTATGTTTTAATGGCAGTGATACTTCTTAGCTTAAAACAAAATTGAGGGGTTCGGATTGGTTCCCTTAAGGGGTTTTTTGATTAGGCCTACTTAATGCAAAATGCTACTGGAGCAGAACTGCAGATACTTAAGAATATTCAGTGTCAAAATAACATAGAGTTAAATGTATATTTTTATCTTTCACATTTTTCAAACATTAATTGTATATTGTTGATGTATGACAAGGGGTTTTGCAAGATCAATGTGCTGAAAAACCGGCATTGAAACACTGTGTGCTTTTGCAATAAGGCCTAATATTGCATACCACATAGCCCTGTCAAGGTAATTGTCTTTTCCTCTTCTCATTCATCAATCGAACATCAGTGATGATGTTTTTCTATTGTTTTGTACGGTACAATCCATCAGTTGATCATTCACAGTGAATCTCTACACACTTTTTGAGCACTGCTGACATTTTTTAAGTTCCTAATTTTTCATCTAGGCTAAGTTTAGAAATGGTTTACCCTCTTAAAATCAAACAACAATGTCTTCATCAATTCCAAAATAACCTACAAATCTTTAAATCTTGTTGAAAAATACCACAGATGCTACAAATCCTTTTATATTCTCTAAACATTTATTTTTCCATTATAGTTGTGCAATGTTAATCCAACCTGTGACGTTTCCATTGTCAAGTACTTATTACCTTTCTAATTAGAGTGTTTGGATTGTTTAAATTTTGTACTGGTCTCTTAACTTTCATTGATTTAAGTTCCACTTACACCATTACAAGTCCATTTGTGTTTCCAGCTCAAGTCCCTGCTGCTCCCTGACCACTGGATCAAGCAGTTCTTCTTGGCGCACACATACTTGGAGCAGCAACTCAACGATGAAGCTCTGGACATCTACAGTCAGCTGCAGACTCAAGGGTTCGGCCAGAGTAATTACCTACTGGCCCAGACTGCTGTGGCATACCACAACAAGAGAAGTACGTATTGTGACAGAAACACTAACTTGACAATACAATTTGTACCCTTAATGTTGGCTTATTTTGTATAAAATTTCATGGTTAAGTGCAGCCTTGATCTAGCCTTGTACTCTAAACCAGATCAGAGTGGTGTGACTTAGCTGTTATTTCAAGACACAATTAGTGATGTGGGCCGGGTAAATACCCAGTGGGTAGGTAAATATAAATTGGCTATTTACCCGGGAATTTACCCCAGGCCCGGGTATTTACCCAAAAACTGGGTATTTATAATTTTTATTAAAGTTAGAGAAGATTGAGATGTTTTTTTTGCAATTATCACCCTGTAAGAATAGGAAAATGATGATAAAATGTGTTAAACAAAATTTCATATGGTCACTACTAGCATTTTACTTCTGGGTACAATCGCCATAAATACCCAGGTCTGAGCATAATCGGCATAAATACCCTGGACGCATGGTTGCACTGGTCCTGACTACTTATTATTTTTTAATTTCTATGATAGATAGATGAATTGATTTTATTGAAAGTGAAGAAAAATAATATGCAAAGTAATAATTATTACAGTATTTATAAATAAAATACATGAAAATTTAACCTAGTAGTGGCCTAGGCGTGTAAACAACTTAAGAAAATAATTAAAATTCAGTCTGTAGGATGGCAGGACTTAATAATATTTTTGTTCTAGGCCTTTTGTTGGTATCAATGATATCAAAATAAAAAAAACTAATTTCTTAAACTTGTGATACAAAACATTTAAATCTATAGCACAATAAATCTTTCAAAATTATAATAAGTTAGACCAAAAACAGGATATACATTTTTTTAGTAGGTTTATCCAAATATGTTATTGTTTCCAACTAAGCGGTAACACAGAAAAGTTTAATTACTTTTAGTATTCTGCCATAGGTCTGTCTAGCCTTCCAAGCCGTTTATACGATAAAAGTTTTTAACTATCATAATTTAATAACAGTAGAAGTAGGTTTAGGTTCACTATTTCTCTGATGAGGTGTTGTTTTCATAAAAAACGAAACCCCATTCTTATTTAAAAACTTAATGTTTTATTTTAAAAACATTAAATAAAAGGTACTTGCAAAGCTTCAAGTTGCTGTAAAAGGTGTTATAGACTATCCTAATTTTTCATTAATGATAACAATAACATATTTAGGGGTGAATATAAATGAATTTCAATCAATTTCATAAATACCCAAAATACCCGGGTATTTATGGATTTTGGGTATTTACCCGGGTAAATACCCAGGGTATTTACTCTGAGTTTTAAATACCCGGGTATTTTACATCACTAGACACAATAGTTTCCATGTAGCTCTAACTACAAATGATTCCTGAAATGGATGTTGACTTATTTTTGACGAGTACATATCCATTCCATTCATCTTTTTTTCTACTAGTGATGGTTAGAACCTTTCTATGTTTAGTCCTGTCTTTTTTTAGGTAATCATTGTTGTTACCCTTGTAATCCTCTTGTTTGGACACCTCAGGATTTAATTGTCTAAAAAAAAAACAATAAATTCCATATCATCATAACCCGAACCTAATGTGTAAAAAACTATTACAATACAAGCAATTATTTACTATACATAGAGGGAATAGAGCAATAACATGGATGCTTACAAAATATCATTAGTAAAAGAGGTTGTGATTGTTTGTTTACCCATGTGATCAAGCGGCAAGTGTGCGAGTCATCCAAAGTTTGAACTAAACCAATCGGAAGGAGAAGAAGTCTACTATAAGATAACTTTTTTGTAACTTGTAGGAATATACTAATAAAGATTCTTTAACAGATGTTGTAAAGGCAATCTCCACTTTCCATGAGCTAAGGAAGTTGGATCCTCTACGGCTTGACAATTTGGACATATTTTCGAATTTGCTTTACGTCAAAGAAATGAAGGTGGAGTTAGCCTATCTTGCACATCACACCACTGAAGTAGACAAATACAGAGTGGAAACTTGTTGTGTTATTGGTAAGTTTAATTATATTGTAATTTGTAAACTTAATTTAAATTCAATGAACACATATCCAAAACAAACGGGTGGGAGTTAATGTGAAAGGTTTATTGGTTTTGAATGGAAACTACAGTTATTATCTACAGTGGAACCTCGATAACAAGACCCTCAATAACAAATCACTCTTGATAACAAATGTCATTTTCTAATCCCCTTGAATTTATTTTCCCCCAATCGCATTTTATTCAAACCTTGATAAGAAGTTAACCTTGATAACAAGTCTTATTTTATAATCCCCTTGAGAGTCTTTTTATCGAGGTTCCACTGTATATATTAATAGGCAAGCATGTTTCTTTAAAACCTTTTTTCCCAGCTCGTGTACATTGCAGGGAAAATCTACGCATATTTTAAGACAGGTATTTTCCTTAGATGTGCAGAATCCCTTTATAAAATTAAAAATATGCTAAAAAATAAGCACAAAAAATGAATTTTAAATAACAAATTTAAAAATTACATGGGCCTTATGGGTTACTATGCTGGTGACAAAATAACAACGAAATATAAACAGTTAATCAAAACAAATGGAACACATGTTTTATTTACACTGTGGGATAAAAATATAGTATCACGGCACAATCGTCGGCATGACTTCGCGGTCACGGCGCGATCGTCGGTAGGACTCCGCGGTCACGGCGCGATCGTCGGTATGACTCGCGGTCACGGTGTGATCGTCGGTATGACTTGTGGTCACGGCGCGATCGTTGTTATGACTCGTGGTCACGGTGCGATCGTCGGTCCATGAATCGCAGTCACAGCGCGATCGTCGTTATGACTCGTGGTCACGGTGAGATCGTCGGTCCAATAATTGCGGTCACGGCGCGACCGTCGTCATGACTCCGCAGTCACGGCGCAATCGTCGAAATGACTTCGTCTCCTGCGTTCGCGGACCTATCGCTCGCAATAGCGGCGTCATCGGCACTCGCAAAGCGGCAAAATCGCCGACGATCGGACAAAATCCCGTCCCGAATAATTCCCGAATCAAATGTAATCCCGTCCCGATAATCGGGAATATTTTTTTCCCGAAAAATTCCCAAAATTTCGGGACCCGTCCATCCCTACCTTAGGCCTAGCTGTATTATTATGTATCTAAAATAAAATATGTATGTTTCAAATTTATTGTTGAAAAAATGAAAAGTAATTTAATCTTGGTGTTGTTTTGTTTTAAAAGGAATAAAGTTCACATTGTGTTGATAGTATTGAATTTTGTCATCAAAGTATTTAACTAGGCCTATAATATTCGTATGTGATATACACACACAGTCTGTGAGCAAAAGTAACTGTCAAAGATGTATTGGGCCTAAGGTTTTTAATTATTGAATATTCATAGTACGCCAGCTCGGTCATTGAGACAACTATCATCACGCCCATTCATTAATCTTTGGAAACAATGTTCTATTGCTTTTACAACTTCAAAGAAGGGTTGGACTTGGGTTGTAGAAAGGAACTTCTGTTCAAATCCCACTAATCACCAATGACTTTTACCTATGTGTTATTAACTGACCTGATGGTCTGTAGCCTATTCCTTATGATTAGGTGAGGAGAGCTTTCCCTGCATACACTCCCACCACTAAAAGCCATTTCCACATTGTGTTTACTTCGACATAGTCAATCATAATTTTTAGCTGGTTTAAACTGCTTGAATACTATCTTGATTATTTGTACTATCTTTAAACATCTCAATCAAAGGGTGGGTTTAAAATTGTTTATTTTATTCCAGGAAACTACTACAGTTTGAGAACTGAACACCAGAAAGCGGTTTTGTACTTTCAGAGGGCTTTGAGGCTCAACCCGCAATACCTATCTGCTTGGACACTTATGGGACACGAGTATATGGAGATGAAAAACACAAACGCAGCCATACAGAGCTACAGACAGGCTATTGGTAAGTATTGTATTGGTGCTTTGCTAAGTATTGGCCTACAAGAAATGTAATATAAAGCTACATTGATGATATATAGCTGAAAATTGCCCTTGGAACATCTAACCCCTTTTGGCTCCCCTCGCATTGTGCAGATACATCGCAACTAGTTTTCCTCTTGTTCTAATGTAAAATATTGTGCGCCATTTTCCATATTTTAATGAAAAATATTGTACATTAAACTTAAATAACAGCTCACAGCTATAAGACCTATCCCTCTTCCCAGGTGGAAGCAAAGTTGACTCCGTGTCCAATGCTGGTCAGGAACTTATTGCTGAAAGTTTTTCCTATCTCAAACCTACCTTTCTTGTTTGAAAATATCAGTTACTGTGTAATATTATAATTTTGAATTTTTTTGACATTTTGAACTTTTTCCCATTCAGAAAAGCCTATACTCAAAAAAGTCCTTTAACCAAGGTCCTTGTTACATCCTTAACTTAGGATATTTGTTTTTCCCCCACAGAGGTAAATCGCCGTGACTACCGCGCCTGGTATGGGCTCGGGCAGACCTACGAGATACTCAAGCTGACAAACTACTGTCTGTACTACTACAAACAGGCACAACAACTACGGCCCAACGACAGTCGCATGTTGATAGCACTGGGCGAGACTTACGAGAAACTAGATAAGGTGCAGGAGGCAATGAAATGTTTCTACAAGGCTCGTAGCGTTGGTGACGTTGAAAACGTGGCCATATTTAAACTCGCTAAGTATGTGAATACAGTTTGCTTTTGTTTTATTTACAGCTATCTACATTTTTAAACATTCGTAAAAGTATGTTGAAAGTAGTGTATGTTGAATGTTGTGTAGGCCACTGAAGAAAACATTCCCTCTATAGACCAGTAGCCAATAATCTATATATATTATAATATAATTCTAAAGAAATTTTTTTCTGTACACCTAATTTACTTAATTCTACACCAATTTCCTTATATGAGATGTCCTTTTATAACCTTTTTTTAACCACTACACCAGAAAAATATACAAATCACTAATTTTTTAGAAGTTTTTCGTAAAAACGATCTATTATATCACTCTGCTACATATTAAACACTTCTCTTTCAATGATAAATTACCTCGGGGGATGAAATCAGATTATTCACTTTAATGAAGTCTACATAAGAACAACTGAAAAGTAAGTACCGCATGGATTCTTTAGTTTTTCAATTCAAACATTGTGTTCAAAGAGGTCCTGTGAACATGTAAAAACATTATAGTAGTAGGCCTATATGCAACGATCGCGTAAAGATAGTGTTAACAAAACAAGTAGAAATTTAAGGTAGGAGAACTATCAACGCGAATTGCGTACACTACTTTACCTATGGCAGTTTTAAAATAAATAACAATCACTACTCATAACTTCTAAGAAAGGTTATGTTTTTGTTACTGACAGTGATGCAACAAATCATTGGTCGTATAGGCCTACTAATTGCACCACTCATCAATAAATGAATTGGTCTCTGAACAGCTGATTAGTTAACGTTCGAAGCATTACAATTTAATATCTTCTCACTCAATCCTTGAATCTCATTGCGTTACCCGTGTTGTTAACCTTTCGTCTAAAGGGCGCTCACAGAAGTTACATTCGGGAGTACGAAAACTATAAAATGATGAGTAGAAAACATTTTAATAGCAATAAAACTGTAAGAAATTTTTTTTTTTACATTTTACTACACTATTACTTAAGTTCTATATAAAATGTTATACTAAACAATACAAATACAAAAGAATTGTGGATCAAAAGGACCTTTTGCACATATACAGTACTATCGTATAAAATTTTTAATAGTGTATGACATAAAAAACATGTATGGTCTAATGAAAATAATCATTTGTTACAAGGACAACTATTTGATCAAAGCTCTTAGACAAAAAATTACATCAGTGTGTGACATAAAAACACCTATGGTCTTATGAAAAAAAAACATTTTTAAGGACAACTTATTTTGTCAAAGATCTTAGAAAAAATTGCAATAGTGTATGAAATAAAACACCTATTGTTTGATGGAAAAAAATCATTTGTTAAGAAGGACTACTCATTTTTTCAAAGCTCTTTTTCTAAAAAAAAAAGGTTCCCAAATAAACGCCCCAGTAGGCCTTTCCACTAAATGTTGTTCCCTGTCCTCCTTTTCAACGTTTCAACACTAGCCAACAATCATTAACATCATCGACGCTATTCATTCTGCTTCATCCAGTTTATAATATCGCTAAATTAGGTCAAACACAAGGGCACACACAGAACTAGGCTCCGGGAAACCTGTTGCATCACAGGGCGCACATGGAAGCTACTTCTAGTAGTGACGCAAACCACTCCCCAAGGTCGACTGAAACTGGGAAAGGGGTAGGAGTAGCCGAAACCGAATCCGTGAAAGAGGTGTGTGAGGTACGGCAGGCGACAGCCCTGATGAACACAAACTATGGTTTTTATAACAAAAAATGTAGAGAAACCTTACCTTTGAGGTAACTTCCGTGATGCGCCTGATGGAATGTTAAGTAAAACAACAACCCTGTTAAGTGAATATTTTTAATTCTAAAAACTGAACTGAAACGGCTACTTTAAAAAACGGTCGTAGGTAAATAACTTTACTTTTTATTTTAGAAAAATTAATTATCTAAAATGTAAACCCACATCCTAATCCTGAAGTAAGGACCCATGCCCACATCAACAATGCTCTTACTATGTACAGGTAGTGTTAACAGTATGTTGCGTACTTCGATAAGAGAGATTTGAGGATTCAGTGTGAATGCTTCGCATGGGTAGGTTCAAATTGATCATAATTGAATGAACCACTCATACAGTGTGTGTACAAAACTGTAAACATTCTATTTTCTCTGTTAATTTTAGATTCTCTTTGATGATTTCAAAAAAGATGCTATAGTTTGCAATAAGTTTTTCTTTCAGCTTTGCTTGGTTGGAAATTAGGCGTATTCGACAGAAATCTATTAATTGCTTTAGCACATTCTGTCGGTGGATCAATTAAACTATGTCAATTTTAGTTCTTCTAAAGCCGGCAACAACTGATGTAAGTGAAATGTCTAGTTCTCTTAATAGCCAAAGATATAGTTTTGATAAGGTTCCTTTTTGTTTTGAATGGATGAGATTGGATTTTTTATTTCTCATAAAATTTTGTGACAAGATTGAGACGGAATTTCCCTTCTCATACATAACGGGAAATGCACGTTCATTGAAACATCATTCTTACTAGTTAAGTATCTAGTATTATAACAATATTATTTCAGTCTTGTGTTATTTTTAGAATGATCTTCGAGTGACTTGTTTGGCTATGTTTACAGTACAGTTAAACCTCATTTGTACGAACCTCGATAAAACGAATTCCTCGATAAGACAAACTTTTTTTATTCCCCTTGACACTTTCATATAGGTCAATGCTAAAAACACCTCTATACAACGTAGTAATTAAGTTAAAAACCTCCATAAGACGAATTTGTTTGTGACATGGGCTAGGACTGATTAACCTCTATACAACGAATATTCTTAGCACAAAACCTCTACAAGACGAACGTGACCTCTATAAGACGAATTTATCATAATCTTAAACTCCATAGTACGTAGTTTTCAAAACAAACAGAAGCTTGTCTCAACATGAAACCCTCACCCATCCCCCCTTCTTCCTCAGTCATTGTTTGGAGAAACCTTGGAGCGAGGAGAAACCTCTATAAGAAGAATAACAGCAGCATTAAACCTCGATAAAACGACCCTCTTTATTAAGAATACCTCTATAGTACGAATTTTTCCCGTACCCCTTGAAATTCGTCTTATAGAGGTTCAACTGTAGTAAAACATGTCTCACACTGCTTATACATGACAAAACTTCTGATCATTTGTGATGTCAAAACAAAAAATTATAAAACAATTAAAGCAATATTTACATGTTAAGAATTAATTAAATAAGAACGCCTTCACAAAGAAAACGCAACAACAACACACTCTGTATTGCGAGTATTGCATTGACTTTCTTCAGGCATTTTTAACTATTTTTTAAAATCTCGTCTCAACAAAATCTCGATCAAAATAAAATCTTGTCTCATAGAACAAGATTTAAAATTTATTGAAATTTTGAAACCTGTCCATCCCTACTTTTTGTTATGGCTTGGTTTAAAAATATGCTATGTGACAAAAATCATTAATTTACTTTAGCGCTCTCTGTTAGTGACTCATTTGAATGTTTAGTTTTATTATAAAACTGGCTGCAACTATATGGAATTTGAAAGTCTACTTATCAATAGTCAAAGATTTAAGGAAGTGAAGGTGAAGGGTGATTTAATTGGACGGTGAACAAAGCACCTGCTTGAGTGTAAATGGGTAATTGCATTAAGAGGAAATTTGGCTTTACTGCTCACAGATTATACGAGAAAGTTCTTATGCACGAGCAAGCGCTTTCGGTGTACACAGAGTTTGTCAAAGAGGTCCAACAAACCACTGGTGACACGAAGTCTGATATGGCACATGCATACAAATATCTCACCGTGCAGCATCTGAAGAACAACAACCTCGATCTGGCTCACCAGTACGCGCAGAAGTGCCTAATGTTTGAGGAGGTAAGAGTGTAACTCAGAAATCACAAAAATATTCAGGAAACAAGTGTATTATTTGTGAACACTGTGCATAATTGGCTTTCATGAAAATAATTCAACATTATGTACTACCATTAGTTTTTGGAAAATAGCACTTGGTTTAAATAAACAAATTAAGGGAGAAAGAATGTATAGTTTTTAGAAAATAGTTGGAGGCAGCTGTTAGTTTACGAGCTGCTTGTATCCAAAAAAACTTCCTTACTTCTAACCCTTGTAAGAATAAAATATAAAATAAAATGATGGTTGTGAACTTTGTGCATGCTACCACGTACCAACTGCTCGAAACTCTTTTCTAAGATAATTTCTGTTTCCATTTTTACTTCATTAATCAGGGTACTCTACTTAAACTGTGATCATCAACTGCAATCGCAGCAATGTGAGATACTGATCTGATCATCTATTCTGGTGATCGTGATGACATAAAAAAATCCAAGTAGCGCAAGCTTTGCTTACAGCATTGCGGTACTAATTGCTTAAATATCCTTATCCTGAGATTCCAATCTACAAAAATGTCAACATTTTTAAAAAACTCAAAAGATTTAAAAAAAATTGTCAATCAATAACATTCTTATTTTTTTTTTATTCAGTTAAAATTGGACTGTATTGAGTTATTATTTATGATAAAATTGTTCATTACACTTTTTAAAATCCTAATATTGAGTAGGCCTACAACTAATATTGGTAGATTCATACTGACCATCATTTAAGAATTTAAAGCTTGAATTGAAACTTTTGTCAGCTTCTCTGATGGCTGTGTTAAATTACTGATTTTTACCTTTGGTTTTACATAAAGAGATTTATTCTCTTTATAAACATAAATATCAACATCCTTTAGCACACCAATCTCATTAGTACCATAAATTGAACTGTATATTTAATTATTTTCCTAGATGAACCTATTGCTGTTACAGTAGCTGGCCAATGTGGATATCCTTTTATTTTCACAATACTTTGTCCCCAGTATTAAATGTAATTTTTGTTTGACTCATGTCTAATACATATTTTATAAACAATTAAAATTTAAAATAAAACTCTGTGATTTGTAAAATAAAAATCTCTGCTTGTCAGTTTTGAATAATAATAACAGTTGAAATAATTAAGGAAACTTCAAGTGCAACAACTAGGATATACAAAGGGAACCTAAGTCTTATCAGTGATAAGATTTCTAGGCCTTTGAGCTAGGCTGAGATGTTTGAGGCTAATCAGTTTGTGAGCTTCCACCTTGGCAATAGCTTGGTTATCTCTAGTATGTAATGCAGTTTGTTTAGGCTGATTATTATTGTCAAAAAAGCTCTTCTTTAATATAAAATAAGATCTATGTCAAGTACAATGGTAAGTCCCCTAAATAATCTGCTTATAGTTATAGTATCCTTTTATCACTTGCCTCTGTTAATATTTATAATATTTACTAGTCCTTTAACAGGTTTTTGTGTACCTTTGTTATAAAATAGTTGAAGCTTCAGGAAACAGGGTCCGGCCCTGTAGCCTCTACTGCAAGCAATATCTATCATAAAATATGCCTGTCCATTTAATCTCATGGGTATACTACCTCCACTTTTGAACTGAAAACTTGCCTGTTGTTATTATTATTATTTTTATAAGGCTTACATATGAATGTTATCGGTCTAAAGGGAATTAAAAAGAGAATAATTTAAAGTAGTGTAAATAAAAATTAAATTTTCGAGCTGGCTCCTCCTTAAACTAAAATTTACTAAGGAAAGTCAGCTGAACTCTAACCATTTCAAAAACTTCCTCAACCCTGTAACAGTTTGTTTGTTTTACCCCCTGTATTGTAAGTAACAAGTCTTATTGTCTTATAAAGTCCCATTGTAATTGAAATTTGGAATTTTGACAACAAAAAAACATTTTTGCAGACTAAAGAAGAGGGAAAGTCATTTCTGAAAACAATAGCAATGAGACGAGCCCAGCAAGGAGAAGAAGGAGGGATGCAGATAGAGGTAATACTTTTACTGCAGTTGAAATATTTTTACAATTCATTTTTTAAATGATTGCACCTCCTTGGATTGCAATCAATCAATCAATCATATCATTTATTTGTCTTTTGGATTTTTACAAATCATTGACAAAGTCAACACATCAGCCTATGTATATTGACGACAATATTGACGAATGGTGGCTAAAATATACCTTGTCAAACAATCATGTGTAGTAAGGTAGAGTGTAGTAAACTTGCTACTTATGTTAACACGGCATATTACTTTATTACTCTTAGAGTGCATTATTGCATTAATCCATTGGTGATTTGCATGACTTGATCCTGTGATCTACCACTGGACCAGCTTGCTACCCCGGGTCGTATCAGCTCTTCTTAAGACGGATGATAGATGGGATCTAAGTCAAGTCAAAACATTCTTTATTCGTTGTTTTGTAGCGTTAGTACATTCAACATGCGTCATTTATTAAATCATCCTTATAGAAATAGAAACGTAATACAATTTCTGTCAATAAGTACAATAATGTTAAAAACACCATCGTTTCTGTTGGCAAAAGTTCAATTTAAGGCCGTTAGTTATTTTAAAACTCATCTAGTGAGTGTAATGTAGTGATGGTCGGATCCAGATATCTCACTACCGGATCCGCTGGATCTGAGCTAGATCCGATGCCTGATCGGATCCAAAAAAAATCGGATCTTGGGCTGGATCCGGTTTTAATGGATCCAAGTTTTTTTCTAATTTAAAAGTTAAAACATACAAAAATTTAGAATATTTTGTTTAAATTTTTTTAATTTTGTTTACCTACATACATTTTTAAAATTTAAAAAAAAACTTTTTTCAATTCTATTAACACAAAACGCCCTTTATAAAGTAAAATCCATACATAAGAACAGGTGTTTTGTCATAGTGATGCATTTAAAAATAAAATTAGTATAGCTCATGCGTTTCCTGGTGAAGCCTGGGGGTAGGGTTGAAGCCCCTACAAAACCGGTTCTGAGCCACTCTAACCACCTACCACCAGGCTTCACCAGGAAACGCAAAAGCTCTAGTGACTATCTGTATCCATGTAAAAGACTATCTGTATCCATGTACAAGACTACCTGTGTCCATATACAAGACTATCTGTATCCATGTACAAGACTATCTGTGTCCATATACGAAACTATCTGTGTCCATATACAAAACTATCTGCATCCATGTAAAAGACTATCTGTATCCATGTACAAGACTACCTGTGTCCATGTACAAGACTATCTGGTTCCATGTACAAGACTATCTGTGTCCATATACGAAACTATCTGTGTCCATATACAAAACTATCTGCATCCATGTAAAAGACTATCTGTATCCATGTACAAGACTATCTGGTTCCATGTACAAGACTATCTGTGTCCATATACGAAACTATCTGTGTCCATATACAAAACTATCTGTATCCATATACAAGACTATCTGTAGCCATGTACAATAGACAATAGACAATTTCTTTATTACAATTTCATCAAGAAATGTTACAGCGTTAAATTTTACAGATACAAAGTGAAATGGAAAAGCCTCTTCAGTGTTGTGTGTGGTCTTGCCATGCAAAGAACTCATTTAGGGTGTAGAAAGCTTTGTCTACCAGCCATCTCCGTAGCTTCCTCTTCATCAGCAACAGGCCTCCAATTTTCAAGTGGTCTGGTAATTTGTTAAGCATCTTCACTCCTGCATACAGTGGTTTCTTTTCAAACATTGCTGTTCTGTGGCCAGGCAGCACATAGTTTCCTGCATATCTGGTGTTGTATTCATGTATATCTCTTTGTTTAGACGGGTCTTTGGTTACACAGTAAAAAACAGTTTCTAGGATGTAGATGGAAGTCACCGTCAGGATGTTCAGGTTTTTGAAGGCATCTCTACAGCTTTGTTCTTTACTTATGCCTGCTATTATTCTGATAGCCCTTTTTTGCATAATCAGGACCCGGTTAAGATTGTCCATAGTGGATCCACCCCAGACAGTGATACCATAGCGTATATGGCTTTCAAACAATGTTTGGTATGCGCAGTCCTCGTTGACTCAGGGGTACTAGTCTCTTTGATTCGTTTTATGGCAAAGCGAGCTGGCCCGAGTTTTTGGCAAAGACAAGCTACATAACGATCCCAGGATAAATTTTCATCAATTATGACACCTAGATGTTTAATTTCTTCAGCTGCTGTCAGGTTGGGCATTTCAGATACTGTAGACTTTTTATTTCCAAAAGTAATTTGCTTGGTCTTACTTCCATTGAGGACTAAGTCATTTTTCATACAATAGTCCTGTGTCATATTGAAAGCTATATAGGTGTTCACTTCTAGTTGATCTATGTTTCTGTTTGCTGTAAGCAGCACAGTGTCGTCTGCATACATGACCATCTTGTTGTACTCCTCAAGGTGTCCTGGGAAGGCATTAATAAACAGGCCAAACAGAACTGGCCCTAGGACAGAGCCCTGGGGAACTCCTCTGTTAGTCGATAGCAATTCAGATCTGACAGTATCTGTAACCCCTTTTGTTGTGTGTTTTATGTCTACCATTTGGCTTCGCCCTTTTAGATAACTTGCAAACCATTTCAGAGCTGTTCGCTGGATTCCTAAATTTTGAAGTTTAGTTAGAATAAGATCATGTCCCAAGGAATCAAAAGCCTTGCTTAAGTCAAGATACAGGCTGGTGATAGTGTTGCCATTTTCTATGTTCTCAATGATATATTCAACAAGGTCTATCAGAGCAGTTGTGGTTGATTTTCCAGGAACAAACCCATGTTGGCTGTTTGTCAATGCTTGGTTTTGACTAAGATGCTCCTGGATTCTTACTTTTATAATCTTCTCTATGAGTTTGGAGACAGATGAGAGCAGCGAGATAGGTCTGTAGTTAGAGATGTTTTGTAGGTCCCCTTGTTTGTGTTTAGGAAAAACCAAGGCTGTTTTCAAGTTGGTTGGAAAAGTCCCCTCTGCCATCGACATGTTTACAATCTTCATTAGCGGCATTATTAATTCATCTGCACATGTTTTAAGGATTTTTTAAGATATTTCATCAATGCCTGATGATGTAGAGTTCTTTAATGATTGAATGGTCCGGCCTATCTCGTCAGGTGTTGTTGGACGGAAGGAAGAGAGAGTGTTTAATGTGGTAGCTGGAGGATTTTGAGCTATTGGTGGTGTGTGTATCTGCTGTTTTGTTTTAATGTCTCCTCAGCTATGTTTACAAAATAATAATTAAAGCGGTTTGCTACATCTTTAGGGTCAGTAAGTTTCTTTCCATTGTCATTTAGTTCTATTGTAGAATTGTTGTCAAGCTCTTTCCTCCCTTTCCTCTCACTATTGATGGTGTTCCATATGGCTTTGGCTTTGTTTTCTGCTTGTTCAATGTATGCAGCACTTGTTTCTTGCCTTGCCTTTTTTAATTTTTGGTCGTAAGATTTCTTCTTATCTGTAGCTATCTTCTTGTCATCAGGATGACCAGTTAGGAGAAATTTGTCTTGTGCTATTAAAAACTCCTTTTTAAGTGTCATAGTTTCTTCGTCATACATCAGTCGGACAAGACTAACTGTGTCCATATACAAGACAATCTGTGTCCAAAGATAGTTCTGTACATGGACATAGACAGTCATGTAGGTATATGGATTATGGACACAGATAGTCTTCTATATGGACACAGATAGTCTTTGACATTGCCTACCCATATGAGTTATTGACGTTGACATCTACTGTCACATTACCTAGCCGTATGAATTTTTGACATCAACAAATACTGTGAAATTTCCTAGCATTATGAGTTATTTAAAAAACCCCGCCCTTGGAAAAAAATTTAAAAAAGTACATGGATCCAAATCCGGAGATCTGGATCTGATTATTTCAAGATTCGGATCTTGGATCCGCCCATCACTAGTATAATGCTCTCTCAACTAGGTGTTCATTTAATTTTCTTTTAAATTTTGAAAACTCTTGAGTGAGCTGGTCTAGTAGTAAGAGTGCAGAACTTTGGTTCCTGAGGTCCCGTGTTCAAATCCCACCAAATCACCAGAATGGATTTTATCTATGTGGTAATGCCGCAACCCTTAGGTCTAGTCTGAAGTATTGTGAAAAACAATCCTGCGCTGGTGCCTAGCGTCCTAGGACAAAAAAAAAGAAAGTCAGATGAGAGATGACTATCCTAAAACCACATTAGTACCTCATAGCCTAGATCAGTGTGCCTCTTATCCTGCCTGCCGCAATGTACACACTTTTAATTGATAGGCATTTTTTTGTGTTACTTCTAAAATGTTTGGTAACTTATTCTGACAAAACCTCAAGATGGGGATCCTGTTCTAGCCTAAATAAAGGCAGAGTTCTTCTTGTAAATAGCAAATTTATTTATATCATACTAAACAATTAAAAAATAAAAAATAACTCTTTTCATTCCTTACTTTTGCAAGTAAAATTTTTGTCTGAAGTCAGACTATTTGTTTGAGTAAATCTTATATAAAATAAATCTTTTTTTTACTGTTTAGTTATTTTATTTTTTGTTTATTTTATTTATGAACTAAACTAATATTGTATTGCTAAACCTGTTGTTTCAGAGACTGTGTCACTGTGATAATGCTTCATGCGATTAAACCAAATTTCGCTAGGTTTGTTTATTTACTATTTATTTATTTATTATTTATTTATAAATTTATACACAATTTACAATAGCTACAGCTATGAACCCAAAACAGCTATAATAAAAATAATAATAAAAATAAGTGAAGAACAAAAAAATATATAATATGTGCACATAAATAGGCAATACAAAACCAGTGATGATAATAGTAAATAAGAGTGAATACAAGTTAATAAAAATGGACAAGGTTGTTGAAAATTTTACTTATTTTGGCTGCAAATCTAAAGGGATGGATTACATTACATAAGCAAAGCATTATAATGGAGAGTATCTCATGTATTGAGTTGTGTGATTGTATGCATGTGTGTGTGTGTGCATGTGTCAGTGATCACTATGTGTGTGTGCGCCTGGGATGCACCTGCCGTGGTGCTGCATCCCGTGGACCCGGGATAGCCAGTTCAAATCCTCATAGTGCTTGTCACACCAACCAGCTTATCGCAACCCCTCACCCTTCTCCCTGCACCCATTATCAACCGCCGACTATCTCTCTTGCTCCCTATCTAAACTAAAGGCGGCGCACATTCATATTCATATTCATATTCAAACATCTTTAATCATCATAAGTCATGTACATTGGTGGTACAGTGAATAGTGTCAGAATACTTAAAATAAAAATACTATATCTATGTATGGGAGGTGGAAAACTCCTCAAAAGAATATAATGCTAAATTTATTAAATAATCTTTTAGAATTTTCTTGAATTTAGATAGGTTTGTTTCTTTTTTTACCAATTCAGGGACAAATTTTAGAAACTCGTTACCAGCGTATGAGGGTTTTTTTTTTTTTATTTTAATTTGTGAGGCTGGACAAACTCTCTTCTCCTCCTGAAATTATAAGAATGTACTGAATTTATTACTTGCTCACATTCACTTTTTTTTGCAATAAGAATTGTTTCATAAATATATTGCCCATAAACTGTAAAAATTTGTAATTTCTTAAAATGTTTTTTTGCCGAATCATCTCGTTTAAGCTTAAGCATAATTCTGATAGTAGTCCAGGCGCTGAGGGGGTTTGAGCATGCATAAAAGTGTAACGAAATTTGACTTTTGATTGTTGCTATGGGTACCTAGTAGATAAAGAAAATCGATGTTGTCGCATTTCTAGGTGGTTAATAACATGGGGGGGGGGGTGAAGTTGGGGGGCCGCCCGGGGGGCCGCCGCGCACAAAATAGCTTATATCTCGAGAACCAAAAGTCATATGAATACGTTAGACATGTCAAACTGTGCAGATAAATGCATTCTACAAAGAGATTATGTAGTAGTTTCACGGAAATTGACAAGAAGTTACTAAAAATTATATTTTTTAAATTTACGATAAGTATAATCAGGAGTATAATGGTTTTTGTTGTTGTTTAGAACCACTAATTTTTTAATTGACATCTTTTAAGAGTAGTACACAATAGGTAAATAGTACTTCTGTATAATAAAACTATTGCGGTACATAACTTAACAGCTATACAATCCTCAGATCCAATAAACATAACACAAACAAAGGCGCAAAACGCGTCGCGGTCATTGTTCCTGCTGCCGTAACTATTAATGGCGGGTACAGTTCAAGCTGAGACTTATATTATTTAGAAAGATGGAGATTCTGAGGATTCATTTTCATATATATAAAATAGTATTTAGGGACTATTATGTAGCGAGAAATATAGTTTGTAAAAGAAGAGAGTTCAAAAAAAATTTTGTAGTTGAACGTTTCCGTCACCTGACCAGGCTGCACAATTGGTGCAACAGCTGTTTCGGCGATCGCGTAAAGGTAGTGTATTGTTGCATTCACATATGTCAATGCTGACTTTATCACGGAAAATTGTAGGCCACTGTTCACACATATATTATAACAATTTTCATTTGCTATAGAGCTAAATTTAAATTTTGACAAGTTATTTAAGTAAAATTATATTGAATTTGAAGCAATTTTGTTACAACAAGTTATAGGTTATTATATATTTACATGAAATAAGGTTATTTGAAAAATGTTCTACATTATAATGTATTGAATCAATTACCTATTGGTCTGTTTGTCATATATTATACAAGGTTTGATAAAGGGAGATGGATTGACATATTGATACAAATAAAAACATATGGTAAAAATTAAATTATTCTATTAAAAATTTTTGTGAAAATACTAAATTGTTACAGAAGTATAACATTTATTTACTGTTGATGCAATAAATTTATTTCTCATACAACAATTAAATAAAATTTGGTAGTTAAAATAGTTTGGTAGTTTTTTTATAATTTTATTTTTATGCGTATTTAAAAAAAAAACATTGATATTTCTACGTAAGGAATCATATTTACACAACCTTAACATTTGGATAATATGGATAAAAACATTATTTTTATGAGTTTTGCGGTTTGATTTAGACATTTCTAATTTGCATAATCCAAAATTTTGCAAACCTCTTGCTACTAAAAATATGCCTAAAAGCATTGCTGGAAAATATATATTTTTATATTATTATATTCTACATTTATCACTGAAACATAATATATAATAGATATCTACTTATATGGACATGTAACTGTTCTCTGGTGAATTATATGGTACCACTACAAAAGGGCCAAAATATAACCACCACTGGTACCCAGATAGGGTCAAGGATTGAGAGAGAAGAAGTGAAATTATAATGCTTCGAACTTCAACTAATCAGCTGTTTAGGCCAATTGAATAGTTAACGATTGGTGCGATGATTCGTTGCATTACTGTCAGAGACAATGAGGGGTAAAAAAAATAACCTCTCTTTTTAAGTTTTGAGTAGTGGTTTTTGGTAATTAAAATACTGTTGCAGGTTAATTAATGCACACAACTCGCGTAAATAGTGTTGACACTCGTAGAAGTTTTTTAAGGCACTCGCCAAGGCTTATATTTAACATTTTCTACTCTTATCGTTTACACTACCTTTACGCGATCGCCGAAACAGCTGTTGCACCAATTGCCTGGTCAGGTGACGGAAACGTTCAACTACAAAATTTTTTTTGAACTCTCTTCTATTACAAACTATATTTCTCGCTACATAATAGTCCCTAAATACTATTTTATATATATGAAAATGAATCCTCAGAATCTCCATCTTTCTAAAAGTATAATATAAGTCTCAGCTTGAACTGCACTCGCCATTAATTGTTACGGCAGCAGGAACAATGACCGCGACGCGTTTTGCGCCTTTGTTTGTGTTATGTTTATTGGATCTGATGATTGTATAGCTGTTAGGTTATGTGCCGCAATAGTTTCATTATACAGAAGTACTATTTACCTATAGTGTACTACTCACAAAGGTTGCCAATTAAAAAATTAATGGTTCTAAACAACAACAAAAACCATTATACTCCTGATTATACTTATCGTAAATTTAAAAAATATAATTTTTAGTAACTTCTTGTCAATGTCCGTGAAACTACTACATAATCTCTTTGTAGAATGCATTTATCTGCACAGTTTGACATGTCTAACGTATTCATATGACTTTTAATTCTCGAGATATAAGCTATTTTGTGTGCAGCGGCCCCCCAACTTCACCCCCTCCCCCCCATGTTATTAACCACCTAGAAATGCGACAACATCGATTTTCTTTATCTACTAGGTACCCATAGCAACAATAAAAAGTCAAATTTCGTTACACTTTTATGCATGCTCAAACCCCCTCAGCGCCTCGACTATAGCCTCTTTTTGCCGCTTCAGAATGCTATCCATATTAAATTTTTTTGTTGACCCATATAATGCTAAACCAAATGAAAGATGAGAGTGGACGTGAGCAAAATATATACTTTTTCGGGTTTTCAAATTACAATAAAAGGACATATTTGACAATGCATAAATTCCGGAGTTAGTTTTGGTCAAAACTTTCTGTCTGTGTTTATCCCAATTCAAATTTTCATCTATTGTTAAACCCAGAAAGTTGATCAGATTTTCCTTTTGAATGTTATTTGAGTTGTAAATTATTGTTGGCTCTTTTGTAATTTTGTTCTGAGCTGTTCTGAAATTAATAAATTTTGTTTTTTGTGAATTTAATAATAAGCTATGATTGTAGAAATAGTTTCCAATATTCTATAATTCTGCATATGTAAAAATTTCAGTTTCTTCTGGAGATTTAGATGATACAATCAAAATAGAATTTGATCATTTACGCTCAGTCGTTGCGTGCACATATTGATGAGGTAAGAGAAATGTTCAGATACAGGGATCTCGATCTGATTACAGTTTCAGAGTCGTGGTTGAAGCCGAGTATTCCATCACATGAAGTGAACCTCCCCGGCTATATTCTGCAGTGCAATGATACAACCGGCTAGCTGGTTGGAGGTGTTGCAGTTTATATAAGGGAGGCAATCAATTTTAAAGTGGTCAACTGTTCAAATTTTAAGTACTCGGCAAAACCAGAATTTTTAATTATAGAAATTAGCCTATCTGGTGTTATGATCTTTTGTTAAGTGTGTGTTACCGACCACCTAGAGTAGGCAATCTACTGGAATTTTAAAACGCTCTTTTAAATTCTTTATTTAGATTTAGTCTTGTCTTGATCATGGGTGACTTCAACACTGGCCTACTTTCGACCAATCAAAACTATGAATACAGACAACTGACTACATTGTTCGACTCATGTAACTTAAATAAACAAATAATAGCTAAACGTACCTCGTCAGACAATCCATAGCATGTAGTGTCGAATGTGTACACTATTTTGTTTCGGCGGTTATTTAAAATATATCCGCCATCGTCACACTACCAAAAGGATCCTCTTGATGTGCCGTCAGAATAAATTATAAAACACACTTTTTGCACAAAACATAAAAACGACAATGATAGGCCTATCAACTACACGCACTAACATGGACAAGGCGGAAAGCTTTCTGAATGTTATGTTATGATGGACTGACTTGACTCTGGGCTGTCGTCTGCGTTATCAACAGCTGATATTGGTCTATTGTAGTGACAGAGGAGAGTATTGAAAATATAATGGGATTCGTAGTTGAGTTTTTCATTCAAAATTTGTGTGCTGTCCTTGGTTTTTATGTCTTAATATAATATTTTGAATTCTTCCAGAGTATTTAATAAATTTCCTTTCCCACAATAATGAAGGATTTTTGAGACCATCATTTATATCTAGCATATCATGTTTATTTTCGATGATGTGTTGAGCGAATTTAGATTTTTGTATTTTTTTTTTTATTTTAGGGGCTGGTCGGTGTTCTTTGTACCTGATTTTAAAAGGTCTCCCACTTTGTCCTACATATGTTCTCGGACAATCGGTGCATTTTATGCGGTATACACCTGTCTTCTCATTCACCTTGTGGATGTTTACCTTTATATATGTTTCGTAGCCGATTGGAAGTGTTAAAAAGCTAGTTTGTCACCATTTTTACTCAGATCCTTCTTCAGGTAGTTGTTTATTTGGTGGTTATACTCGACACATCAATATGTTGTTCTGTAATTATCAATATTTGTTGGCTTGTGACATGTATTGTTCTTTTTCTTTATAATTATTCTGTCCACCATATCAGATTTGTATCTATTGGCCTCAGCAATGTGCTTTATTATATTGAGTTCCTTTGTGTAATTTTCTGGACTTAAAGTCTGAATATCATCGAGATGTAGGTGGCCAGTTTTTGAGAATATGGGTGATAAGATGTGCCATGAATGGTCTGGTCTGATGTTGGGTCCAATAACAAAAAAATGGAACAGCTTTGCTTCACTGTGACAAGGTCAAAAACCTAGGACTTACTATAAACTCGAAACTTACTTGGGGAAATGCAGTAGTAGACATCTGTAAAACGGTGTTTGCATCAATCGACTCACTTAAAAAAGTACAAAACTTCTTGCCTTTGCACCTAAAATTACACCTTGTTAAATAACTTGACTTCCCCTACTTCATTTACTGCAACTCTTTGATCAATAACATGACTGTAAACCTCGCTGATGCTCTCCAACACACTCAACTACTGCTTAAGATTTATTTATGATCTAGGACGCAGTGCATCTTGCCTTTCTACATTCATTCTAAACTATTAAAGCTATGTGACCTGAGACCAACCAAAATTCTTTTGCTAACCTTATTTTGTAGATGATTTTGGGTTTGTAGCTGAAGAAAGTGTTAGGTATTCACGCTATGCTTCGTTTACTTTGCGTATGCCTCATCATCCAACCTTGGAATGACCTCCCTTTGGCCATTAAATTCATTGATAATCGTTCCCGGTTTGTGGCAGTGCTAAAAAATATGTATTTTGAACGTATGGCCATGGTTGGTTTGCCCTAAGGGCTTGTATGCGTGGTTGGTCTCTGACAGGTGTGCTGTGGTGTGTCTGTGTGTGTGTGTGTGTGTGAGAGAGAGAGAGATAATTTGTACAGTTTAAAATCTAAGCTATTTTCTTTTGTTAAATTTTCTGTGTCAATTAGATTTTGATTTGTTGTATATTGATGTAATTGTTATGTATTATATTTATGTACAGGTTAAGTGTAAGAAAGGGCCTTGTGGCCCTAACTTTTGCCTGTCTGAATAAATAATTTTTCATTTCATTACATTTTTTATAAAATAGGAGGGTTATGTTATTTAATTAAAGAATTAATCCAACATGTTTAAACAAAGAAATACTATTTTAGAAACAATCCAATCAAGGAAATGGACATTTGCTTAGTCTGCTGATTTGATACGGCAGAAGTTGATTGTAGTATACTGTTTTTCCTACTTTTTCAAGTAATTGTAATTTGATTTCATTGAAGACTATTAAAATAATATTTTTTTTGCGGGGGAACGCCCAAGAGTCCTTATGGGCTAGCCGCCACTAATTGTAAAACTTCATGATGAAAATATTTTTCAGGTTGACGAAAACTCCTCAAGACAACGAATCAGGAATCCTGAGTTTTACAGTCCAGTCAGGAGTTTAGTGTTTTTAACTCCAGAAAATAATACTTAGTGTTTTTTGCTTTTAAATAAGTCAGTTTTCCATTTTTTTGATTCAATCCAATATTGTGAACTGTGTTAATATTAAAACTTAATTAAAAAAAACTTTTGTTTTCAATGATTGTGTGCTTTTTGTGTTCTTAACATATCAGAACTTGCAATGGATGGGGATAAATTAATGTTTAGCTATTATTTAGAAGCTAAAATCATATGTGAAAATGACTAATTTAAGGATTTTCTAAATGATTTTGTAAATACAAGAAATCATTACCATTTACCATTTTTTAAATGGTAGGCCCAAAGTATCCCATATAACACAAAAACACCATCATTTTCATTTTGACACCTCAAATTTTTAAGAAGATTTGTTTTATATATTGATAATCATCTTCCCTTAAGATTGCAGAAGACTGTTCAGTATCTTTACACATATTTACCATCTTGTAAATATTTACAGTATAAGTGTAGATGTTTAAAAAAGAATCTAAAGAATCATTTACTTAATTCAACCTATATTTAGGATATTTTTATCTTTATCTTTATTCGAGTCACATTGATAAGATGAGGTACAAATTCCCCTGTTCTCTTTAAAATTGCTGGAAACCTTTATTAAGAAGTAATGTTGACATTATTTAATTTCAAATTACCGCCAAATGGCTTGACAACTAGGTCAAACCAGGCTCGTTGGTCAAATGGTGGCCCCAGACATTTTTACACAAGTCAAACTGACAGGACAACTTGATGTACACTATGGTATCTTTTATGGTTTTATGACACATAAATTATCAATGTATTGAAAACTAAATGAGAAAATATAATTTTGACTGAGGAACGTTCTACGAGATAGAGAGGCTCAGTTAACTTTGTTACATGATTGGGAAGTCTACTCCAGTCAATGGTACAACTAGGCAAACGTCAAATTTAAAACAGGGTAAGATTTTGTCATTTAAATGTAAATACTAGCTACATAAAAAATATTAGATTATTAGAATATACTCTTCTTTAAATTAATCATACTTAGGCCTACATTTTTTAGAACATTAACCAATATTTATTTAAGAATGGAGTAAATATTGTAAAAAAATGCACTTTCTTTGGATACCATGAATACAAAATAAAACATGGCACATGCCTTTTTGGTCTACTTTCAATAACCATTTGATTATTACATTCAAGAAAGAACGTCAGAGGTGGAAGAATATTAATAAAATTTACCTAAAAAATTCAGACTTAATAGAAATTGAGCACAGTTTTTAAGTAAGCCAAGTTGATGAAAATTTCAAAAGTTACCATAAATCCCGGCTGTGCTTCAGCCGCCATCTTGGAAAATGGCGGACAATTTTCATTTTCCTTTTACAATATTTCACTAACCATTGGTAGTACCTATACAACTTTTGTTAGTACAAAAGTAAAACAACACCTAAAAATGGATATTTTTTATGTTACAATGTTTGCCCTATCTCTAACAGTTATTGAGATCAATTGAAATTAGTTTTAAATTTAAAATTCCCATGTTATTCTTATTGATGGAAAAAAGAATTGCATTTTTTGCTTATTTATGGATATCTTTTGATGAAACTTAACAAATTTATTTATTTTATACTACGCTATAATTATTTTACACTCTCCCTATAGCAGTAAAACTAAGTACTAGTTACATTTAATGTTATTTAAATAGGGATTCAATCCCAACTAATCAATCAAAATTTTTTCGTTTTAGGAAATATTTTTGACATATTAACAATAATTTTTTTTCATGGTATTAAAGTTTAAAGCCCACTCACAATCTTGTCACAACTATGTAAATAATTGCATGTTTACATTATTACTATATTTTTTTGGTACAATAACTAAGTGTATATCTAACATTTTACAGCTTACATTTAATATCTAAACCCTAAAACTTTCCCGTAGCAGGCCGGGCCACTGATATGTAAGATTTGTTTGAGAAAAGAATTTAACTTCAAGGGGAAAAAAATCATGTTTTGTTAATATTAACTTCAATTTTTCTCAATAACCGTAGAGATAGGGCAAATGTCTTAAGGACTTGAAAGATGTACAGGGAGAATAATAACGTTTTTTTCTTAGTTAAACATTAATGGCTTGGCATAAAATAAATAAATTGGCCAAGTTTGATCAAAAGATGTTCATAAACAAACTAAAACATTGTTTTTTATCCTGCATTAAAATAACATCAGTTTTTAAAATCTATATTATTAATACACTACATGAAACTTTTGTGAACGATAAGGCTTTTTTGTTAAGATTTAATCCCATCCCACATATTATATACCAAAATGTTCATCTAGGTGTGTAGATTTGCAAACTGGCCTTACTTTTTTGAAAAAGTGCCTTGGGCTCTGCCCCAGTGGCTTTTAAAGTTCCCATGTTATCCTTATGTTATGAAGAACACATTTGTTTACATTATGATCAGCTGGATAATTTAATTGCTGTTAATATTTTAGTTGAAATTTAAGGAAACATATGCTACAGACATTTACTGACTTGGTTGAAATGAAATATTACTATTTAAATTTAGGTTGGCATGAATATTACAATGGAAAGAAGCTAGCAAGCCTGGACAATTTGATATACTGTACTAATAAGAAAACTGAATTAACACTGTGCTACATTTCTTGAGCAATCATTGAAAGAGCCAATTTGCAACCTATGGAAACATAGGAAAGTCATAGAACACCAAGTAGAAGAAATGGAAATGATGTTTTTTTTATATTTATAATCATTATTATGGACAACCTAATGAGTGGGAAACATTTGTAGAAAACTCTAAAAACAAATATCAGCATTTGAAAAATTATAAGATATTTACAAGAAATGTTGATTATATGGAACTATTATGTGTACATCGTGAGTATTTCCATAATCTTTTAGTTGATTCTTTTAAAGTCATCAGAAATTATGACTGTTATTCATTTTAAAATAACGCCTGTAATACTTTACAATTGCTCGAATTCGAGAAATAGGTACACTAGTATGATATTATAAACAAATAAATAAAAATGCCTTTATTTCCGAGCGTCTCTCAGTGCAAATATAACTGTTTTACGGAGTAACTCAGGTAAAATACTAACTAAAAATACAATACTATTATAATAAAATACATTTTGTGATAAGATAAAAATATTAAGTATATAAACAACTATTTTACAATATTAATACATTTGTTTAAATTCCTTTTATAAGAAAGGACCCCCAGCTGTTTTAGGTCCAAGGGGAGATCATTGTAGATCTTTGGGCCAAAGTAGGAAAACCCTTTCCTCCTGACTTCCTTTTGAAAGTGGAGAAAGGTTTTGTGCCGGGTCTCGCGTTGGGTCACTACCCCACGTGCCACAAGCCTTTCCACCAAGTACGAGGCTCTTGCTGAACCAAGACTCGGTGGATGAGGCTACAAGTCTGCGCCCTGCACACGGCTTTCATTGACAGCAACCCCGCAACATCCCGAAGTGGGGATACGCATTCACGCTTACGGATACCATAAACAAAACGAACAGCGGAGTTCTGCACTTTTTCATCTTCCCTTGAGATGCTGTTTCCGTATGCAGGGAAACAGTAATGGAGTACTGACAACACTAGTGACTGTACCAGCTGCAGCTTGGCTGTCTCTGGTAGGATGTTTTTGTACCGGTTCAGACCGCACAACCTTCCCAAAGCCACCTGGGAAACTTAAGTGATGTGGTCCGAGAATGTGAGGCCACTGTCAACTACCACACCCAACGTCTTAACAGTTTCTCTCACCATTAATGGGTTACCTGTGAGTTGAACGTGCATGTCTCCATTTGCAGCTCTGTGAAGAGTAGTGGGTGGAGCAATATGAAGAACAGTGCATTTGCCACAGCGTTCAATTTCAAACCATGTTTGCTTGACCATTCACTTATTCTCACCAGATCAGAGTTCACTCCTGCAAAAGCTTGCGCAGTGGCCTGAATCTCGTACGAGAAATGCAACTGGCAATCATCAGCATATGAATGCACATTGCAGTGACTCGCACATCTGGACAGATCTGCAGTGTACAGGGTAAACAAAATGATTAAATGGATATTAACTTCGGTTTTCCCCAATAACCGCTAGAGATAGGAAAAATTGTGTAAGAATTTAAAAAGATGTATTTCTGGGTGTTCTTTAATTATGTCTGAACAAACTTTCTATATTTCCAACAGTTGGTGAAAAAAAGGTCAAAAAGGTAAAAATCACAGCCGGTGTTCATGAAGACTTTTGAAATTGTTAACGAGTACTTAGGTTTACTGCTATAAAGGAGAGTAAAGTAGGCTTTTATGTAAATTATTAATAGCGTAGTATAAAATAAATAAATATAACAAGTTTGATCAAAAGATATCCATAAATAAGCAAACTGCAACAATTTTCTTTTCCTCCGTAACTTGGGAATTTTAAATTTAATACTAACTTCAATTTATCTCAAAACCGTTAGATATAGATAGGGCAAACATTGTAGTATAAAAGTTATCTATTTTTAAGTGTTCTTTAACTTTTGTATCAACAAAAATTCTGTATTGCCAATGGTTAGTGAAATATGGTCATAAAAGTAAAAATTGGCCATTATTTTCCAAGATGGCGGCTGAAGCACTGCCGGGATTTATGGGGACTTTTCACATTTTCGTCAACTTGCCTTACTGAATAACTGTGCAAAATTTCCACTTAGTCGGAATTTGTTAAGATGAATCACATTTTGATCCCTAAAATTCTTGAACTATAACGAGATTATTAGCATGAATGTTTTTGATAATCGGGAAGAATATTGTGCCATACAGTAAAAACCATGCAAGTTTAGAGGAGTACGTTGAAGGGATTGCCGGAATTTTATCCCCCTGGAATTTTACCCCCTGGGCAAAGCTGACGTCACTATGACGTAGTAACCTGAGTGGCCAAAAGTTTGTTCGCGGCCGGAATTTTACCCCCGCGGATTTGGAAGTCTAATGAAAATAGTCAGAGCGTGATTAATTAGATTAGCGATAAAAACCGGAATTTTACCCCCTGTCCATAAAACTAGCGTTTAGACAACTGAAGATGTACGGGCCGGATTTTTACCCCCAGAATTTTACCCCCGGAATTTTACCCCCGGAATTTTACCTCCGGAATTTT